TGTTGCCCAACAAACACCTGTGGAATGTTCTGGATCAGAGTTTTCAGCCATCATGTTCCAGCTCTCGAAAATGTTCGCCAACTGCAAGAAGCACTCCAGGAGGAATGGGATAATATCCCTTAGGCCTCTATTGACAACTTAGTGATGTCCATGCGCCGCTGGTGTACTGCTCTGCACAAATTTAATGGTGTCTGTGAACTCAGGATGTTGACCCCCATGGTGTATTTGATGCCCTAACTCTTGGACTATGCATTTAAACTTCCCCTAATGCTCTCAAAGTGATGTCTATTTGTCGAGAAAAATATGCTGTTATTTTTGGCTATATATACTCTAGTTCCATATATGAAAATAAATCTACATATTCTTTCGTGCGTTTATATTTTTGTTCAGTATATATAAATGTTTCACATATAAATAATTAGAAAGACATGACATTCATAGAATGCTCTTTTCATATGTTGCAAGTTGTTACAACTTGTGACAGGAATATCCCGTCAGAGGTAAGGGCATATATATAGATGAGATAGATATTGTTAATGTAGGAATACATGACCTAGCGGGGGGTATTGTTAAGTTGGTCACTAGAACATCAAAAGGAGGCAGGAAATAGAATGATTTTTAAATTCACAGGCAGATAGGAATGGAACCACGTGGGCGGCTATGAAATCATACATACAAAGATAATATTTGTCTGCAAATGAGGAGGAAAGGTTAAAATCCAAATAAGAAGTTTTAAGACAGATGGCTTTCGAAACCCTTACAACGTTCAATAGGCATTTCAGGGAGAGCGCTAATAGAGCGTTCACCATCCGTAGACAAGGAGAAACTGAGAATTTTGTTATCAGGGCATATGCTGGTGCTTTAAGGAATATAAATGTAGCAGAAGAACTGGTAATTAGAGGTTGGCCTACTACACTGGAGGAATCTATCACATGGACAGAACAGGAAAACTTGCAAAGGGAATTTTTAGACTAATTATAGATGTCGACGACAATTTGAGGGAACAATAAACAAACACTTATGTAACACAAAAGGCGAGAATAGAGGAAGACATGGAAATAGGAGCTACTGGGCCAGACAGACACAACAAAAGCATACCTCAAACAAAACAAACACAGCTTGACACTATACTGGCAAAATTTACAGACATTGCCCCACAATTAGAACATGCTCTCATTCAACATCAAAAAAACTAACGAACTGTTGCAAACAAGGATGGCCAAGGTAGAAACTATATCAATGTCTTCAATTTCCCTAACCCACAAAAACAGTATCAAGGTAACTTTTCACAGTGGGTGGATAATTCCTCACAAAGACCACACACACGACGAAATACGAGTTCGACAGAGGATGGCCGACCTGCGTGTTTCAATTGTAATAAGACAGGGCACGTTAGGGCAGAGTGTAGACAGCTGTTAGTGCAACAACAGGTCACGGGTCACTAGATCCTGCAGGCACTACAGTGTCCAGATTTTGTAGGTTGGGTGTTCTTCTGTCAGTTCAGAAAACAAAATGTAAAGCATTGGTAGACTCTGGAGCCTGTTGTAACTGCCTGCAGTTGGACACATTTGTAAGGATTTGTAAGGAGACGGGAAGGTCCCCGTTACTGGAAAAAACCAATGAGATATTTAGTGTATTGGGTCAGTTATTTCATAAAGCTGTGTTACGTTGGTTTATCCTTGTGGTTGACTTGGTTTCTGTCGCAAGCACTTATGTGAAGTTTTAGAGCAACAGATCTGGGATTGAACATGAGAGTGAAAGGTTTACTTGTATTAGTGAGCATAAGTGAGCGAAAGTATGTTCAGTACAAAGGGTTCAATTTTTTTACTAGTCTTTGTAGTTATAATAAAGAAAACATGGTGACTTTCCATCCTTAGGTCAGCATATGCCCCCTATCTTTCGCACCCTTTCACCCACCTCTACTGATATGTTACGTGTCTCACTAGCCCCCCTTCATTTTTTAAAAATAATATTTCAGGTGGTCCTATAGAGTGGAGAAGAACTTGAAACAGGGATGACCCGTCTGTAAGGAACTGATCTGGCGGTGAGCAGCCAGTGGCTGGTGGAAACCCTTTCCAAGTGCCATAAAAAACCCAGCACCTTCGTGCTAAAAAAGCTTTTGGATGGTTTTCTTTACACCCCAGCAACTGTCTGCAACAACAGCCCTGGCCTTCCAGAGTTTAACCGTAGGAAGAGCTCTGCAGAGTAAGTTTCATATATATAATAAGTTTTATATATAAAAGAGCACACTTTTAACATTTTTTGAATCAGTGCTTTATCATTAGTATTTCCAAATGTTGAATTGATTTAAATCGCTTTATTTTTATATTTTTGACGCCAGTTTATTTATCCCTGACCCATTTTTTTTTCTTTTAGTCTATGGAATAACCAAGTTGGGTCTTACTGCCAAGTTTCATATAGAAAGAGACAGTCACTTTCAACTTTTTTGCATCAGTGCTTTATTATTATTATTCCAGGAGCACGGCCAAGAAAGGCAAGTACGTGTTCTGGGATAACTACATAAAACTGGAAGTTGATAAGTGTTCACTGTATCAGTCAGGTGTGAAGTATATATAATCAGTCATGTGACAGTCATGAGACCACACCTAGATCACACTGTTACCTGAATGAGAGAGGAGAGGGACCTATAAAAATGGTTCTCTTGCCATGACTCTACAGTTGTGTAAGTTTGGGTTTGTTTTAAATTAATTCTATGTATTTATGGAGACTTGTTTTATTTTTATTTTGTATTAATTTTGTAAGATATATATTTCTTTTTTTGTTTTAGTGACCAGCTAATCAGCAATACAGCAGCTGCGTTCAAATAGACTTAGAATTCTCCCAACACAATTTGTCTCCAGATGAAAAGGAAGAGGTAAGTGGTTTGATCAGGGAATTGGGACATGTTTTCAAAAAGTGATAGTGAAATAATGCCATAGATAAAGGTCATAAATATAACTTAAGTATTTAAAACTAGTCAAAATATGGATATTTTGAAATTTGAACATGTTTTGCCACATAAAGCTAAGAACAGTGTATTCATATTGTAACNAGCTGCAATGTAATCAGCTATATCCTGATATCGGAGGAGTTCAGTGCCACTGCCATTGCCGTGAATGATGAAAAACCTGGGTGCATGCTGTTTGTAAAGTATGATTTCTTTTTTCTCCACGAATGCATTTTCCACCTCCTTGTCCTCCACCTCCAGTTCACTGCCAGAAGGGCTCATCACGATGGTGTCACCATTGTGCTTCACACTGAAGATATTTCCTTCATTGTCCACAGTCTCACAGATGACATCTGCATGGTGGCGCATTGCATACACCAGTTTCTGATTGGCAGAGGCAAACTCGATGTTATTGTTAGGCTTGGGGTTGTACACTGCACTTCCCTCCTCATCCACGACCAGGTTGCCACCATCTTGGTGTGAGATGGTATAGCAGCCATTAGGAGTGGTGTGGATAATGGAGCCAGTGCCAAACTCAGTCTTCCAGCAGCCAGTGGCGGTGTTGTAGTCCAGGGTGGCGTAGCCAGGACACTCCACCTTGAACATCTGAACAAGTGGAGTCTCCATCTTCACATCCTCGCCTATAATAAGACAATACATATGACTTGATGTGACATTTATGTCATCAAAAATTAATTTGAGTGTTAAAACATTATTGGATCTTAAGCAAAGATAGTTAGAGATTGTTATGATATACTGTGAACAGTCAAATTAATAAAAAAAACATTTTTTAAAATGTTCTTGCCTGTAATGTAACAAAAATTAACACTTAAGATAATAACTAATATCTTGAAAATTGAAAACATAATTGAAGATAGTGAGAGAAAGGTATGAGAACCTTTGGGCAATGGAAATAAACTGAGATATTGAAACTGCAAAGAAGTAAAAGAAGGAAAAGAACATTTTTAGTACAACACAATCTGTATCAGCACTGTAGGCAATTATATGTATTTTATTCAGTAGAATGAATAAATTAATGAAGGTGTACCTGTGTCAGCACTGTGTTGGTACATCTCTTCCTGTACATAGTAAGTGGTTACCCTGGTTCCATCACTATGCTGGACTATTCTCTTGCCGTCTGGGTGCTGCACTATCATTACATGGTCCTCTCTGGTGGTCAGCATCTATATATTAAAATTTCATAATTAAAATGAGTGGAAGTGTTTAGTCATCCAGTAGAATTAGAACTTATTAGAATTTATATATTTAATACTAATGATTACAGTTGCATTTAAAGCTGCTATTTGTAGTACAAATGCAAAACTTGATATGATATTGCATGCGTGCTGTTGTAAATACAAAGATTAAATTTATACAGAACTCTACATGCAATCTTAAAGTTTCATTATATGGATACTAACTTACTGCATACTAATATCATATTCATATCATATTCATGGTATCATATTCAAATTTTGTAACCAATGTGTACAAACTGGAGTTTTCTTTAACTGTAGACATCTTGGTTTTCATATTGACCATGAAATGTCTTGTAATGAGTTTGCAACATTTTTATGTATCATTTTTATAATGCTTGAAATACATTTGCTGCATTTTGATTTTATTGTAAAAAAGTTGAAGAAGTATTAAAAAGCACCTGTTTGCTCTCTGGGTCTGTGGCATATGTAAACAGAGCAACTGGCAGAGGAGTTGATTTTCCATCTGGTTTCACAGAAATTCTCTCACCAGATGGCATGGTAGTGATGCATTCACCTTTTGGCTCTGTTTCCTCGACAGCCAGATTATCTGGCTGCTTTTCTGCAAGCTGTGCACTCTTTCTTTGTTTGCCACCTAGAAATAAAAAGTAAAAATTTTAACACATTATACATGATTTTAAGTTTCATCACCTGATATGACCATACACCCTCACATCAATGAATTCCACTTATCTTTTACAAAACTTTGTTAATGCATTTTTATTTCAATATTTCACTTTCATCCCTTTTTTTCAATCCAAACAACATTCAGGCATAGAAAGAGATAATATATCACTTGTATTTATCATAATTTTACCTTTCTTAGGTGAGCTTGGTTTCTCTTTCTCTTTCTCTTTTTCATCTTTGTCTGCCTGGCTCTTAGCACTGTTGATTCTACTAGGAGAACTCATTCTGCTTGGAGGTAGTGGCACAAAATTCCCAGTGATGTTACTCACAGTGCCATCTGCATACAAAATCTATGAAAAAGAGAAAAATATTAGCATATTTTTATGGTGAAGTTACTTTTTGAAAAACAGGGATATCAAACAATTTCACACACAGGATCCTATTATTTGGGTTTTGAAATTAAAATATTAGCAAAGTGCAAGTACTGTATTTGTTTCTAAAAACAGAAATTACTATGCATAAACACTACATATAATATAGTTTAATAATTTTTACTTTTGCAAACTCTACATTTTTATCTTGATAATTTTCACTCAACTTTACTCAAAATCAATAAATCATTGGCCATATATTTTTGCAACAAACCTACCTGTAGAGAATCATCTTGGAAAAACCTGATAATGTTTCCCTCACAGGTTACCAAACGAGAAGCTTCCTGCATGGCTGGCACTTTACGCTTGGCTTCACAGTCTTGTTTACCATTGGTCTTGAAGGGGTAGCTCTGCTTCACTATCACTTTCCTATCATTTTCATCTGCGGGTATCACACCTATATAAAACAATTAATAAATTGTTGTGAAATTGAAATTTAATTTTCACTTTTTAGTTAGTACCCCTGAATTGACATATTATTATATTTTTGAGTTTGACAAAATAAGAATAAGAAATGGACAAAATTTAATATCAGTAGTTACTTTATTTTTTGCAAATGGTTTCAAATTCATCCTAAATAAAAGCAGGCCCTAAATCCTCTCTTCTCTTTAAATTTATACAGATTTTCAGATTGAAGTGATTTTGTGAAACTGGCCTAGAGCACTGCACTCACCACAATGGCTCTCCAGCATATACTGAATGGTCAGACCATCAGGACAGGAGACAAACAGTTCCTGAAATGGTTGCTCAGGTACCAACTCTTCTTCTATCTTTATGTCATCTTTAGGTTCCTCATCCTTGTAAGAGAAATGTATTTTTATATGACAAGCATTCAGCCCATATTTTTTATGGTGAAGTTACTTTTTTGAAAAACAGGGATATGTTCTTCAGATGCACCCATCCCTGCAACCCATATCTAGTAGGTCTGTATTTCATATTTATCAATGTTTTTATTACCTGGATTGTGGGCTCTGGGGTTGCTGCAGCTTTGTCCTGTGCTCCTTTGCCTTTATCTTTGCCCTTTCCTTTAGCAGGGCTGGCCTGGGCAGGACTGGGACTCCTGGGAGGGGGCGCCACATAGGGCTCTGGTTGTGGCTTCTGGCCTATAAATCATAACATGTGGTTTGAGGTATGATCTGTATGTCTTTGGATTACTAGTATGTACATGTTGCTAGAGGAACCTCTGCTGTATATATATTGTAACAAAGGGGGTCACAGGAGCCACGAATCTGCTATTTAAAATCATTAGAAACAATGTAAACATGTGCTGCACGATCGTCTGCTATGACCGGAATCTACTTTTCTTCAATAACTTTACATTAAATCTTACCTAAGACTTCGTTTTTCCTTAGAGACATATGTCCTGGAGTTTATCCAACTAAACCCATAGGTTAATTCTTCATTTAAATCCCAAATAATGGAAATACGGCGCTAAATCTACAATACACAAGTTAGTGACACTTCCATGCAGAGCGGCCATGCTGTTAGGTCGCGACCTTCGACCTTTGACCGCAGCGCGAGCATGACGTAACGGAGTCTATAAATAGGGCTGCAGAGCCAAAGCGGGGGTTCTTCGAAAAGCTGACTCCCCTCTCGACAGAATCAACAGCCTATAGTACCAGTGAGTTAGATTTTATTTAGAGGGTGCCCCCGCGGGGGTAACCCGCCTGTCATTAGCCATTTTCTATGTAGTTTGG